TCTAAAATTTAAAATGAAGCTGATATCTTGACTTTTTTATTATATATGCTTTATTATATCTTTTGTTTATACACAAGAAGATAATATTAGCTCTCATGTCTTTAATAATTTAATCACCGTATTAGTACCTTTACTTATTATTTCAACCTATCGTAGTAGGAGAAAAAAGGTGAAAAAGATAGTTGGTTTTCTTGAATCACTTATTATGTTTATATTTTTGTTTATCTTTCCTGGTATATATAATGTCTTTATATATAAAAGTACTTCTGAACTTGATTATACCTGGATGGTTTCAAGTTTCTATAGAATATTTTATATAATATTAATAAAAATATTAGATATATTAAAGGAAAAAAGGTTAGAAAAGAAAGTAATTGTTAAATTATCAAAAGAAAAAATCATAGAAGAACAGGAAAAAATTTCTAAAGAATATAGATCAATTTTACATTGCCTAGTATTGCCATTTTTACCCGCATTATGCGCTCCTTTTATATTATATTAGCTTAAAAAAAACACTATAAATAAAAGACTTGGTCATACTGGGTTTATTACTATTTTAACAATTTTATCTCTTTTAACATTTCTATTATTTTTACTTGGCAGGCTTTTTTTGAGTCTTTATTTTTATTTAGTAACTTCAAATGCATTGAGTTTGTCTATAGCATATTCGAATAGTATATTTTTTACAGATCTGATTTTAGCACTTATGATTTATTTATTAGGGCGAATGTTTGATAAAGAAGCTTGAATAGGTGAAAAAATTCACTTTTCAGATGTTAAAATAAAGTGGTTTATTAATGATAATACAAATAAAAAAATATACAATATTGCTGAAAAAGAAAAACTCATACAAGTTAGAGAGAAAGAAGCAATTAACGAGCTTGTTAAAAATTCAAAGTGCCAAGATGAATTAGAAAATGAAATTCAGGCTGATACTTCAGACTAATATGGGTAATTATTTCATTAATAAATTTTATAAATTGTGTGTTACAAAAACAAATTACTCAATATAATTCAATTTTGTATGTTATAAAAACAAGTATAATTCAATTTATGTGCTATAAAGCAAATATATCCAATTACAAGTTACAAATACAATAAATTGTTTTATAGTTATATCACTAGTTCAACTAGAACTATCTTTAAATATTCTGTGCTTACGGGTGAGATGGTTAACTAAATTTAAAGTTCAATATTATACAAATACCACTTTCTTCTCTATTATCCATTATACTTTCACAAGTATAAATTATATCCTCCTTTTGAAAATATTCCCAGACAAAACTTGGATATATGGATAGTTGTGTTTTAACTATTCTCTTTATTACAAAATTCCTCTGTTCATTAGTGCTTTTGTTTTGCACCACATTTGTATTATGAAATTGTTTTTTAAATTTATTAAAAATTTGCAACTAAAATAAATTATATACTGTTGGAGTGCACTATGTAAATCAAATTTATATAATGATAATCTCATAATAAAAATAAATAGTAAACTTTTTTGTGTAATGAAGGTGAAGATTCATATTAAAAATTTAAAAATTTGACAAATTTTTTATTAATTTATTATATATTTTTTGATATTTTAAAAAAGCACTCTTTTTTCTTTAAAATATAGGATCTGCTGAGCAATCTTGTAAAATTTTTGAGAAAGCCAAAAAAACATGTATTCACACATCTCTACATATCATATATTTATAATGCATATAAGAAAACAATACAAACCCAACAATATAATAGAATACATTTGTGACTGCTCAATCTCTATAAATTATGTAAAAAATCTTTTTCATATTTACAAACGGAGGGTAAACATCAAAAAAGATTGAAGAGATAAGTTAAAACTATCAAAAAAGATATATGATAGCACTTCAGAGAATGAGCGGCATTTACTGAAAAGATTCATTACAAAAAATGGTGTCGATCTTTTAGAATATCACCCAAAATCATTTATCACTGATCTATTTGTTGATAAAATTATTTATTATTTTAATTATCTTTAATAAGGATGTTAAGTAGTTTAAAACTGCCTAGCCAAA